CCACCCCACCAGCCGCAGCCTGCCCAGGTACCTTCCTCCCCCCAAACGTTCCACGTTCCTGAATACTATGCACATACATCCCCACCGTCGACGTCCCAGGCCCCTCATCATCATCGACCTCCTCACTCGCACTTTCCAGTTCCGTCCCTTTTGGTTCCGAGTCCGTCCTCAAGGACTCCAAGGACTCCCGCCGGAGAACCACGCCAGCGATCCCATCTCCACACCCCACAGTCGCTGCAGTCGTTGTTGTTTTGATACTCGGAACAGGTGTGCTACCAACACTAGCAGAAACCGTCACAGTAGCCGGAGGAGTCGGAGTTAAAGTCGGAGGAGGTGGGGGAGCCACAATCATAGACATATCCGGTAAATGATACGTAACCATCCCACCCGCATCACCCTTCCCATACGTCCCACTCCATGACGATCGTGCACTAGAGTCACGGCCCGGGTGTGCACCGTGCCCATACGCGTAATGATACCGCGACTCAACATGGGCGTGTCTTGTCGTCTTTTTCCCAATAAGCACTTCAAAGGATATGAACAAGACGGCGAGGATCGCAAAGTGGATGGCGAGGAAGAGGAGGACGAGGGTATTGAGATGGTATGTGTAGGCGCCGAGGAAGAGTGATGCAATTGCTGAAATGCCGAGGAGACGACCGAACCACCAGTGCAGTTTATCCCACCAGGGGGTTTTGGTGCGTGTGGGGTGCAGGGTGAAGAGGCGGTCGATTACAAGGCCTAGGACGGTTTGCCCGACTGAACCCCAGATGACGAAATGCCCGATAACGCGGTGTACGTTCGAGGTGAGATCGTCATCGTGTTCATCATCTACTGCACTGCCATCGGTAGAGGGTGTTTTGAGTTTGAGGAGGACGTAGGAAACGACAGAGAGGATGATGGTGAGGGCGAGGAAGGTGGTGTGGATGCGGAACCACCATGGATTGTTGGGGTTGGATGTGGATTTGAAGTGTCGCGCTGATAAGATACCCAGAGGCAAGAAGTACCCCCACGCGAAAAACATGAGGAGGCCGTGGATGTGGATATAATTAGGATTCCCGAGTCTCCCGCTCCCACCGCTTTCCCCGGTACCGGCGGTGCTGGTGCCGCTGGTGCTGGATGATGAGGATGAGGATGGGATGCGAGTATTGGTACCGACTTCGTCATCGTCATCGTCTCCCCTCCGAAGTAAGGTTGGCACACCGATAAACTCCCGCTCGTGATCCCCAATATCGATGCCGCCGGAGTTGATTGCGATGGCGAGGGCGGGGGATGTGGAAGGGTTGATGTTGTAGGATGATTTGGGATGGATGGGGGTTGCAGTGATGGCGGGAAGGAGGGCGAGGAGGGTGAGGGTGAAAAGGGTGAGGATGGCGAGTCTGAGGAAGGTTTCAGACTTCGAGTGTGAGTCCATCTTGATCATCTTGGCTGCAGAAGATTTCGTGAGTGAGAAAGAGGATTGGGATAAGAACTATATGAGGTGGTCGCGCGATGTATCAATGATGGTGGCGACGGGTGCAGATGCGGGGTCGAGGCCGGGAAGAGGGGGCGTTTCCCAGAGCGGAGAAACGCGGCGCTTCTTTCTGGATCTGGGTCTGAGATCACACTTTTTTTGCCCGTGGGTGGTCTAGGTTGTACAAATGATGCAGGGAGAAGGGGGAGGGACAATGGATCTGTCATCGGATCTGTCGTTTCAAACTCCGCTCATTTACAAACACAGAACTCGATGAATGTCGGTTAGGATTTGAAAAGGGCGAAAGGTTATGCTTGTATGAATCAGGACAAGTGTGACATATCATATCGAAAGTCCTGCATAAATGGATGGTCGAAAATGATGATTCAGAATTGACTGAGCATGAATTGCTGTATTGGGAGAAAGAAGCGAAACTCACTTTCAAATTGGAAATGCACCGGTGACTCAATAAGGGTATCTGACAGAGAAAATCTCTGCCCGGCTAAAACCAATCACTGACAGTTCAACAGTTATGGGGAAGACGAAGGAAGAGAAAATGAAGAAAGACAATCAACACACTGATCAGAAAACTTCGGAGCCAAAAACTAATCATGAGGGATACGCATCAAAAGGAAAGAAACCATGCAAATCACTTTATCAAAATGGGCAAGAAGTAGAAAATGCAGTGCAAAGACCAAAAATGAGCTGAAAATAAAACTTGAACGCGTGCATTTTTTTCGAAGGAAACGCGCGGTCATAGTGAACGAGCTCGAGGATGTTGCATCTTCATGGTGCAGACGAAACGTTGACAGTTCGCCCGTTTGACAATCCATTGGCACCCGTGTTCGAATTCGCAGCTGAAGACAGGATGTTGGATTTCTGTCCAGTGGAGGCTTGTCTTTTGCCCGTTGGTGACGACACACGACTCGCACCTGCAGGGAGTTTTACCAGAAGCTTTGGAAGGCACATAACGGCAATAACTGTCACGGTGACGAGGGCTGAACGAAGGAAATGGACCAAGAACTGTGGAACGTAGACAGAGAAGGGGTGTAAGGCAAATGCATATGAATTCAGAACAGAGCGTAAAAGATGAACTCCCAGTGACCATCAGCCTCTGCGTTGACAAATGAAAGCACATATCAATCAACACACCACAATGTCCGGTGTGATGGAGGGGATCGCAGCCGTGATGATGACCGAAATAACCAGAATAAAGAGGCAGTTGTAGATGGCGACACCGAGCGCATGAGCTTCATTGTACTCCGCCTTCACTTTCCTGGTGTTGACGGCGAAGTATGTCCCGACCACAAGCATGCTCAGTTCCAGAACAAGTAAGATGTACCCAATCGTATCGGGAACGCAAACGGACCAGGCGCGCTTTGATTAGTCGTCAATTTCTTGTGCACTCGCCTTCAAGTTCAGTTGAGTTCCAAATATGTCTGCGAGAATGATGACGAGGAAAACGGACAGGGCCACAGAGTAGTACGTGAGCAAGACAGTATCGTGCAGGTTGAGCGGAACTGCCTGGGATTTGTTGGTGAAGATGCGGTGAATACGATACACCTTGAGGAGAATAGCTCCGAATGTCATCGCAAAACCGATGTGAAAGAGGAAGTCCGAAGCACGGCAGATCGCAAATGAGTCGAGGCTTCCAAAGTACAGGGGGATAATCGATCCCTGGATGAGTAAACACCCGGCGACAATCAACAGGAGGAAGGTCGGAGAATTCACTCGGATCGCAGGGGTATTCCGCTTGAAGTAGATGCTCAAAAATGTCACCGAAAAGACGACTTCCAACAGAATCGTTACGGCAAATCCCGTGATGAAAAGATCTTCGTTGCGGATGAATTCCAGGACGAGATTGGTGACGCGAAAGGAGGGGTGGTAGTTCCGTCGGGGAAGGTCATTGCCTCTGTCATGTTGAATGTGGAGCTGAACCACGTGCCAATCGTGTTGCCAAACACAATATTTTGCGTGTTGTTGGGGTCCGCCGCCAATGCCATCAATGTTTTGTTGCGCGCTATCAAAATCGGAAGTGAAAAACAAATGGGATTTTTGCTGTGCGCGTTTCTATATACACACCTAGTTCATCAACTGCCACAAACCCTCGGGTACACCTGCAAGCATATGGCACTTACCATTTATGATATATAGGTCAATCAATGGGTCACCCGTTTTTTCATCCCAGGACATCGGTCTCGATGGAAATTGCCCTGGCAATTTGGCCGCATTCATCGCATTCAAATATTGGCTCAACGTGACGTTTCTCAATATGTTCCCGCGTGCGATATCTACGATAACAGCGCACGCCCAAGGTACCTCAGAGCGCTCCAGTGGAATTCGCTTCAACGAGCCTCCTCACACTTTTGTGGCTTGGCGAATTCTCGAGACCGACAGATCTCTGGACGTCACAGCACAAAACGTAACTTGAAAAGAGTCGAGGAACTCACGTCCTTGGGATTATCAGACCCACGCTCTACGACTGAGCCACGATGCGGCGCTACGGAAAAATGACATGGCCGAAACTAGCATTAATCATATCCCAAAAGCCTTGAACGCGTTTAATAAGGTGAATCCACTCCAGTAGAGAATTAAGGATGGAGCAGACAATGCCACGGGAAAATGAATTGAACGAAAGGTGCATTTCACACACATTAACCATGCATTACAAAATTATTAAAATGCGCCGGGTGAGGATCGAACTCACGACCTTGGGATTATGAGACCCACGCTCTACCGACTGAGCCACCGCCGCTGGTGCACATATGCCACAATGTTGCTTACAAAGACATGACTATCTAATGTTACACACAACACCCTGTCTTTTTCCATCTCTCTCCTCCCCTTTGTGCAAGAATACTTGTAACAGTTTTCAGAATGCTCGACCTTATTCCCAACCCTGTGCTAGACCCCACCCTCGACCCCTTCGGTCTCCGGCTCCCAAAAGACATCCGCGAGCGCATCGTCTGGTCAAAACTCGAAGGCCATACAAATCCACAAACTGCGGATCGTCTTATCGTCACCATTGAACAAGTCTCGATTGTTTGGAAGTGGTGGACACTCTATGGGACGAATGAGGATTTGGATGTACAGGATCGGAAGACGGGCAAGAAGGTTGAGAATGAGGTTCAAGAGGTTTGTTTGGCTTCCTTTTGCGACACATTCAAGTTTCGTTTGCGAGGTGCATTCTCGGGTTGATGCGTTGTTGTAATGTTGGAATCTTTTGCGCTGCGTTTTGTCGGGATGCTGCGCGTTTGCAATGGATCGATCGTGGATACGGTCTTCAGTATATTTCGCGGTTATTGAAGCGGTACCCGGAGATCTATCTGGATGAAATTCATCGCAAGGTTGAAGCGAGGGTTGATCGTCGCATTACGTTAACTACGATTTGGCGATGCTTGGAACGGGCGGGAGTTAGCACATCAGAGGTACATGCAAATATATCTGCTCGCTTGGGGGGTGTACCTTTACTGCGATTTGGTCGTTTACGTCTGCGTTGCTCCCTGCATGACCTCCCCTTCTGATGACTCAACATCTGTTTCATCTACATCCCGGAACAAAGCTCTCAAATCGAACCTTCGCACGATACGAGCGCGAACGCATCGATTTCCTCGTAAAACTGTCCTTCTATCTCCCATCCCGTCTCGTTTTCGTCGGAAGATCAACCTGCTCGGATCATACCCAACAGCTGCGGTACGGCTGGTCCCCACAAAACTACTCAGATAGGCGCCAAAAGCTGGAGGAGTTTAGAGCGGCGGCGTCGGTTATCTTTGATGGGAGTCGAAGACTGGCTGTTGTCTTGGCAATGGGAGAGAAAGAGTATTTGGGGCATTTTGTGCAGAGGATGGAGTTGACGGAGGAACAGGTTTGGGAGTTTTTGAGGGATAAAGTGGTAGGTAGTGGCATGGGATGTTTTGGTTTTTCTCGTCAATCGGACAATGTTCGCTGACTGTTTCATGTCTCTATTCTCTATTCTGTCGCAGTTGCCGAAGCTGAACCCGTATCCGCAGCCACGAAGCGTCCTCGTGCTGGAAGATTCCCTGCGTCAATCGTCTTATCTCAGTGACATTGAAGATGTTTGCTCCTCTCGTGGCGTACGGATCGAGTTCTTACCGCCATATGGCACTCAGCTCTCACCGGTATGTCCGCTAAAATCATAATTCGTTACTTAAGTTCGGCTTGACCGTGTGGACATCTCCACCAGGACTCTGCCCCTCTTGGGACTCACTGCAATTGATGTCCTTCACTTGTTTCAGGTGGAATGGTCGCTTGATATTGTCAAAAGGAGGCTTTTGGATCCTGGGCGGACGATTCGAGGGAAACCATTGCAGAGGTTGGAGCGTGCAATTCTTACATTGACAGAAGAGGAGGCAGCATCTTGTTTCCACAAGTCTGGATATTCGTAGAGGTTTCAACGCGGTCTTCTTGATGATTACGCTTCCCGGGCCAGAACTTCTTCCAAGTGGCCTCATTTACTGTAAATGATGTGTTTGGGTGTAAGGAGATTGTCTTTACCATTAGCTATTGTATTGAAACTGTACTTTTTTCGTAAAGTCTGTATTTGGAAACCGAAATCGTATGTATAGCTTTGGAGCTTTACCCTTCTATCTGTTAGCTGTGTCCTCGCTCTCTTTGGTTCTCGTTGGTCCTGAGTAAAATGGCGTTCTCCGTTGCCTTTTTGTGGGCGTCGTCGCATGATTTCGAACTCACAGTAATCTGGTGGCTTAGAAACCGGTCACCAAACAACCCAGGCACCCCCCGCCGTTGCAAACCGTCCATTTCGTCGGTCATTGCCTGACCCGAACCAGCAACCCCCGGAATTGCCCTTCCTTCTGCTGAAACACCGCAGCCAGCACCCCTTCATGGCATCCACGCACTCCTTATGACAATGACAACATACGCCTACTCATTCGCTTTGTTCCTGCTCCTTTTCCTCGGGTGTTCACAACCTTCGGCAACCGAAACAACCGCCTCGGAACAAGATGTAAATCTGCAACCACCCAGTGTGGATCTAGTGTGGTACGTTGGATAATCGATGAGGGGGCGATGGAACCTGGTGGACACCACTGTACAGGTTTTTGGACTTGGGCTTTGGCGTTTGTGTCAGAGGTTGAAGAGTTGAGTTTGGTTGGCAGGCCAGGTCAGCTTCACGCCTATGACGTCCAAAATCCGTGACAAAAGCAATGCAGTAGGGAATGGAGGGAAGATTAAGGTGGCTCTTGGACCTGGGGGTGGGATGGGGTAAGCTGCAAACTTTGAAGCTGATCATGCGTTCCGTTCCTTGCCCTCTTCGTATACTTAGGCGAAAAGACATCACATCTCCACCTTCAACATCAAAAACACCCCTAAACCATATCGCATTTCATGGAATCGCCGTATATCTAGATACCGCCGCGAATGCTGGGAGCGAGGAGACGGCTACCGGTGGAAAGGAAACGGGTGGGACGACAGAGGTTGGCGATGAGACGAAGCAGAGAAATGATACATTTTTGCACTTGGTTTTTGGGTCGGCGCCGAATTGCTTGTTTGCACTGAATTTGGATACGGGGGAGACAGGTGAGGGG